GACACTATTCAACACCTAATCCTAAAATTAACACTAACACTAACCCTCAAACCCACAGTCCAGTTCACAGGTAGTGAAATTCCAAACCAATCCCTAGCCCAAATGCTATTGTGAACTTTCCCAGTATTCATCAGAAATACCCTGCTCAGGTACTAGAAATCCAACATTATTCCTCACCCTCAGAAAAATCCTTGCCCTAAGTATCATGCTTACACACCAGTTATAATGTATTTCAATTCCATCCATATCCTAATTCCCCAGACCTAACCCTAACTTTAAACCAAACCATTAATATCACAGTCCAATACTGGGGTAATTGAAATACTACACTATTCCTAATCCTAACACCAAATCTCATCATTATACTAACTATGAACCCACACTGCAATATACAGCTAGTTAAATTCCAAGACTATAACTTACTCCAACCTTGACCCTAACCCTAAACTTACCTCTAACCCTAACCTAGGTACCTACAATCCCACACCATAGCTAACCATAATCCTACAATTAATGCTGGCACTAATCATTAAACCCACAGATGAAGAAGACAATAGAAAATAAAGATACTTCTTGCTCCTGGATAATTACAGCCAACCAATATTTTCAAAATATTAATATTCTCATAAATGATAGATGTTTTAATGCAAGTCTCATCTGCTTTTAGTGTTCTTCACAGACAATAAAGCACATTTCTACAATTCATCAGAAATCAGAAAAGACCAACAGTAACTAAGGAACACTTGAGAATAAGAGCAAAGCAGGTGGAATCATTATTCAAGATTTAAAGCTATGTCACAAACTTACAACAGTAAATATTTCATAGAACTGGCACAAAAACATACTTGTTGATAACAGAATTCAGAATGAAGAAAAAACCCAGACATCTTTAACCACTTGATTCGAACAGAGATAAAGAACATACAATAGAGAAAGCCTCTTCAAAAACTGTGCTGGAAGGGCTGGGGATTTAGCTCAGTGCCAGCACCTGCCTCACAAACACAAGGACCCAGGTACCAAAAAAAAGGTACAGTTCAAAAACTGTGCTGGAAAAGCTCATGATCATACAGAATATAAAATACAGACCCCCCATATCACTCACACTCTCTTCAAAAACCATATCACAATGGACAAGATAACTACACATTAAACCAGAAACACTGAGTCTAATGAAAGATAAAACAAGTAAAGCTCCTGAAGACATGGACATGAGCAAGGACTTTCTGAATATCCCAATTGCATAAGACATAATACCAACAATTAACAAATGGGATTGTGTCAGATTAAGATTTTTACAGCAAAGGAAGCAACAAACAGACAAGCAAGAAGGTCAAGCATGGGAAAATCTTTGTCAGCTATTCCTTTGACAGAGAACATCTAAAATATATTTTTAAAATTCAAAAACAATAATACCCCAAAATAAAAGGCCAAAGTTTTAAAAATGTGAAATCAAAATGAATAGATACATCTCAAAAGAAGAAGCATTAGAGAAATACAAATCAAAACTCACTTAAGTTTGAATTTATTTCAGTATGCGTATTTAAAAAACTCAAAAAAAAACAACGCAGGTGGGTTTCTGGGGAAAGGTGAACCATTCTGCAAAGTTTTATTGGAGTAAAAAAATAACACAACCATTCTGGGCGATTCTTCCAAAAAAATAAAAACAGAAATCAATGTGACTCAGATACAATCATTCTGGGTATCTTCACAAAAGATGTAAGGACATAAATATGAGAACATATGCATTTCCTATATAGAGCAGCACAATTCATAATACCTAAATTTTGGAAATGACCTACATATCCATCAACAGATAAACAGATAGAGAAAATCTGGCATGTAAACAAAATGCCATAACCCTACTCACTATAACCCTAACTCTAACCCTCTAACACTAACCCTAACTCCTAACTCTAAAACCCACACTGCTGGAGAACCCTATAGTCAAGTTCCAGTCATGGCCTGCCCAGTGTGTGACGCAAGCATGAGGAAAAAAATACACTAAGAGGCAGAACTAAGAGAGAGAAAGCTGAGCCAGTACAAAAAATGCCGGTGCAACCAAGAAAGGCGCTGCACAGTCCCAGGCGCTGACTTTTACTGTCAATCAGTTGGGTTAAAGAGGATGTGTGGTATCTATGGAAATTAATGTAAACAAGGCTTATAAAGGAGAAGACAAAGCATTCTCAAATTAGGAACAGAATAGATAAAATGTATGGTTGTAATTAGAATACTGTCCTTCTAGTCTGAAGGTTTTAGTTATGGGAAAAGAACTGAGTGTCAGTTACTCTGACCTCAGCACATGGGTTTCCCCCACACTCACTTCTATAAACAGCCAGTTGTAGGGTTAACTCTTTGCAGCCTGTTTTGAACATAATCAATATTACAGTCCTCTGCATTTCACCCTAACCTTAAATACCCTAGCCCACTAATTCTAACCCCTAACCCTAATCCCTAAACCCTAATTCCTCCTCCTAACCCTAACCCTCAACTGTTTCCCTAGTGGCACCTCATCCTTTGAGTACTCTTAATCCCAACACTAAACCCCAACCTATACTCTAACCCATCCTCTGATCCTAACTTTAATTTTTACCCTAACCCTACTGTAACCCACACACAAACCCTGAAGCTAACCCAAGCCCCCACTAGAGCACAGAGCCAAATACCAGCCCACATAAAAATTAATGGCAAACTGATACATGAACTTCAATGTCAGAGTAGAGCCCTAAACCTAAACAGAAACTCAACACTAAACTGTAAACAATAACCGTAATGCCAAACACAGACTCAAACATTAACTATAATCCAAAACCAAACACATATCCAAGTATATCCCAGAACATTAGCCCTGTATTTGAACCAAACACAAACCCAAATCCAATCACAAACCTGAACACAAACCCAGAATTGAACCCTAATGCAAGCCTGAACAGGAATCTGAACACATATTGGAACACAAACCCTATACCTCACATGACCAAAACACAAACACAAACCCATACACAAATCTGAACACAAACATAGAATGGAACTCAAACACAAAACTGAACATAACCCTGGACTTGAACTTTAACATGACCACAAACATCTCAGCTTTAACCCAAACACAAATGGCAAACCCAGTATCATGTAATTCATAAAAGTAAATCGCAATTGTCTTGATTTATCAATTATATATATATATATATAACAATTGCATATCCATATATACTATATAAAATTGACAGATTATATATTACCAGTATTCCTCATTTATTGACCAGTTTCTGTTCCTGTGACACAGTCATTAAATGTAGGGAAAGTGGGTAGGGTAGGGGAAAGGGAATAAGGGAAAAGAAAAAAATATATGAGAAAATGAAAAAATGGAAATAAAGTGTTTATAAATGGGGCGGAGAGGATGGGGGTGAAGGGAGGGCAGGGACAAGGGGGAAAAAATGAGAACCAAGACCTGGCATGTAAAGGTACAAGATCCCAATAATGAATGTAGCCATACTATATACCTAAAATGTACCAATAAACTCATTTAAAAAAATTTTAATGAATTGGTCAATAGATTAAGAATCATATATTATGTACATTACAATATTCAGAACCAAAAAATCATTAAAGGAAATTCCAACTTCATGACTTTGCTTTCATTTACATAACTCTTACATACAGCATGGTAATATATGCAAATATAAACTATAGTACTGTACCATACAATAAATATTACAGTTCTGTATAAAGATTTACTGCACCCCCCAAAAAATTGAGGCTCTATGAACAAGTTGCATAGACCTGTACAAAGAAAAAGATGGGTTGTAAGTCCCAGTGGCAGGTCATAAATCCAGTATACCTCACTCATTAAGTCCAAACAGCTATTTAAAAAGTCATTCAATGAGGAATATCTGTATATAGCAATTATATATATAATTTTTCTACTATATATCAATTATATTTATATAATGAATTATATTTCATTGAAACATTACGTATATGTATGTCAATAGTTATATATTAATTATTTAGGTTGTCAGTATAGCAATCATTTTGATAACCTTAAGAAAATTAAAATTTGTACTGTGACTGACCTGTTTCAACATCAATAAAACCAGCCAAATTCTGCGTTATTCCTCTAAAAACAAATATAGCAAAACAAATTTGTATTCAAAATACAGAAATAATTCTCAATGTAAACAACAATTCAACAAAAAATGGAAAATTTTTGAGCCAGACAATATCAGACCATACAAAACAAAATCATGACAGATAATTCAAGGCACAAATCAATATTTATCCCACTGAATAAAGAAATTAGTAAACAATTCCATTAATGATAGCTTCCAAAAAACTCAAATACCTGCAACTGAACATAACAAAGAAAGTAAACATCCCCCATAACAAAAATTATAGTGCTCAAAATAAGAGAGATTGAAGGCACTAGAAAATAGACACTCCTTGTTCCTAGTTTGCACAATGAATATTGTCAAAATATCCATATTCCCACAATTTATAGATTTTTTTTCAGCTTTGAGTTTATTGGTACATTTTAGGAATACAGTACAGTTACATTAATTGTTGGGATCTTGTACCTCTACATGACAGGTCTTGGTTCTCATTTTTTCCCCCTTGTTCCTGCAATAGATGTTTTTAATGCAATCCTCATCAAACTGTCTTCAGTGTTATTTACAAAGCTATAAAGCACATTTCTACAATACATAAGGAATCAGGAAAGACCAAGAGTAGCCAAACAACCCCTGAGCATAAGAGCAAAGCAGGATGAATGATTATTCAAGATTTAATGCTATGTTGCAAACTTATAGTGATAAATACATTGTGGTATTAGCACAAAAACATACCGGAGGTAGTTCCAGGGATGGAACTCAGGACTTTCCACTTGAGAAGCAGTAGGTGGCACCACTGAGTTAAATCCCCAGCCCAGAAAAACATTGGGATCACAAGAGAATTCAGAATGAAGCAACAAACCCACATACCTTGAACCACTTTATTTTGGACAAAGGGTCAAACAATATAGGTGGAGAAAGACAACCTCTTCACAAACTGTGCTGGAAAAGCTTGTGATCCTAATACAGAAAATAAAATATAGACCCATTTCTCATACACATTCTCTACAAAAATCAAGTCAAAATGGACAAGATAACTACATGTTAAACCAGAAACACTGAATCTGATAGAAATAAAACAGGTAAAGCTTTTGAAGACATGGGCAGGAGCAAGGACTTTCTGAATAACTCAATTCCAGAAAAAAATAATATCAACAATCAGCAAATGAGATTATTTTAAATTATGATTTTTTTTACTGCAAAGGAAACAACAAACAGAATGAAGAGAAAACCTCCAGCATGGGAAAATCTTTGTCAGCTATTCCTTGGACAGAGGACTAATATTTAAAATATATATTAAAAACTCAAAAACATTAAACACACGATAATATAAAAAGACCAAATTTTAAAAATGAGAACTCATTTATGGCCACAAAATGCAGAAAAAAAGTATGTTGAATATCTTTGTCCATTAGAGAAATTCAAATCAAAACCCACTGAAGTTTGACCTTATTCCAGTAAGCATGCTTCAGGAACTCAAAAAATAATGCAGGTGCGGTTGAGGAGGAAAGGGAACGATTCTGCAAAGTTTTTTGCAATAAGAAATAGTACAACCACTCTGGAGATTCCTCAATAAAAACTAAAATCAGAGATCCACTTGACTCGAGAAGAACTCTTTTGGGTATCTTCACAAAATCTGTAATGACATCTTATAGAGATATATGCATTCCCTATTTATAGCAGGACAAGTCATAATACCTAAATTCTGGAAACAAGCTACATGTCCATAAACAGATGAAAACACAAAGAAAATCTAGTATATATACAAAATGGAGTACTACTCACCATAAAGAGAGATAAATTTCCCTTAGGAGGATGAGCCAGGAAGATTACTGTGAGATCAACTTTAGCCTGGTCTTACTAGCCAGTTCAAGGCAAGTCTAAACTGAGATCCTGTCTCAAAAAAAAAAAAGAAAGAAAGAAAAGATTAATTTGATTCATTTGTGGAGAAATGGACGCATCTTGAGACTATAATGCTAAGTGAATAAACCACACACCAAGGGCTAAATATTGAATAGTTTCCTTTATAGGAAAAACTAAACATATACATAATTTTAAGAGGTACACAAAAGAAAGGTGAAATGAAAAAAAGATGTAGATTTTTATGGAGATGAGAAAGGGACCTGGGATTGGAAAGAAGGGAAGATTGGGACAGAAAAGAAAAGTAAAAATGATTAAGATGCAATATGTACATGTGCAAATTCCCCAAGATAACTGTAATTGTTATGAATCATAAGTGTATACCAATGAAAGCAGCAAGGAAGATTTTGACAAAGATTACAGTGTAGGGATAACTTTCCCTACCCCTCATTGAAAATGTGATGTGTTTTATTCTCTCCCATCATTTCTACCCCACCCTCATGCAACCCCTCAGCAGTCCAAACACCTAGCCTCCTTGGGCTCTACTGTAGGCCCAGACCCACAAGGCTGGAAGGTTTTGCATAACACAATGGCAATGCCTATGCAAAGCTTCAATAGCCCAGAGGATGAGTTGACCATGATTAGACAGCAGTCCATGTCTCACAAAAAACAAAACATCTTCCAAAACTGTACGCTTGGCCACTAGAAATTATGGTACTTAACCCTATCCCAGAAAAGCCATGGAAACTTCCTTCTCCATTCATTCTGTGATCAGAATGGCTTCCCTTTCCTTGGTCAGTTCCACCTTCCTTCAAAAGGAGCCCCAAAGTTTCACATTCCTGTTTGACTGATTGAAATACATGACTTGGGTCTCATTTCTATTCCTCTCCAACCACAGGATCCTGTCCAGTTACCTATCTTCTATTATCCTCTGTATCACTCTCCTGCTTTGTCTCTCTTGGCTTTGACTCCTCACCTCCTCCTCCCTCCCCACCTGTAGGCACACAGGGATGAAATAAAGAAGCCCCTGCCCAGAAGAGTTCACTTCCCAGTAGGATGTCAGGAAACAGCATAATATAAAACAAATGCAGTGGGATGAGGTTTGGAAGTCATGGACACAAGGTTTCAAGTAACTTCCCCAGGGGCAAAGGAGGCTCCTAAAATGGAGGGAAGAAGGAACATGCAGGTGGAGAGGGCTCAGGAGGAAATTGTGATCTGCAGAATCTGGGGCTTGCCTGAGTTGTGAAAGGGCAAGAAAGGAAGTGTGGGAATGCATGCAGCCAGTGAAAACTGGGAGTTGCCCTGACAAATCTCAGAGCAAAAAGGTCCAGGATGGGAGGCCCAGGATGATTTTAACAGGAATCAACAAATCCAACAAGGAAGTAGGAGCTGTAAAAGGGTCACCCATCCCACAGGTATAATAGTTCAAGTAGAGGCAACACTAGGCCATGGAGAACATGTACACTCATCTAGTGGACCTTGGCCCAGAAAATACATCCCAGTCAGGGGGACGACGTGGTGGATAGATAAAGTCAAAGTGAGGCCAGTGGGCATTTTTCACCCTATGCTGATGACCTCCTTCCAGGTGAATAAAAATGTGATGTATTCACATGCAACGGCTGGTCAAGGCAAGGGGCTTGTTATGACTTGTATCTAGAGTCCCTCTAAAGCATCATAGGTGGGGCTTTTTGGAGGTGGCTGGATCTAGAATGTGTGATACTGCAATTAAGTGTATGGGATTACTAAACTAGTCCACTGACTGGCAAAGCAAAAAGTAAGATGGGGCTGTTGATGACTTTGTATCATGAAGAATGACAAGGAGCACGGTGAGCAGGTCCAGCTGTTACAAATTTAGGAATGAGCGAACTCAACAGCTGGATGTGATGTTGTCTCTCTTAACTGAATGGTCCTGTGGACCCTCATCTCAGTGAATGTTGACACCAAGAACTGATGACTGAGACAAACACCAGAGAGTCAGAATGCCTCCACCCCTTCCACATGGAAACACAAATGTGCTTAACATCTCAGCCAATAAGCAAATGCAAACTACAACCACAGTGAGCTTCTCCTTTGCTCCTACTACAGCACCTACCATGAATATAACTTAAGGTAACAAGTATTGGTAAGGATGCAGAGAAACTGGAAACCTTACACATGGTGCAGCCTCTTGGTGAAGTACTTTGACATTTCCTCAAAAAGAGTATAGACTTACTATACTACTCAACCTTTCCATTCTTAAGCAGATACAGAAAAGAACAGAAAATATGTAAACAAAAATGAATATGTTATCTCTGTCAAAGTCATGGCAATGGAAAACAGTCCCAAAACAAGTTTCAGGAGAAAAAACAAACAAACAAACAAACAAAAAAAAAAAACAGGCTCCAAAAGAAAAAAAAAGAATTTTCTTCTAGGTGAGACAAGTGATGAAATCAAAGTTGGACAATAGATTGGACATTCATGTCAAAACCCTTTCATTTCCTGACATGGGGGCTGTTGTAGTCATTAGGATTAGGCAAGAGCATACTTTAAATACAGGACACATAACTTATAAGGTTATTTTATGATAATTAACCAAAGAGTCAAATGCAAGGAGTACAAGAGATTAACCACACACACTAGAAGCCCAAAAAATTCAACTGAAGCCTAGATCTGAGCAGTTTCTCACAGAAGTCCAACTAATAGCTTAGAGTCCAAGGCAATGTCCTCAAGTCCAGCCAGTGGCCTAGAGTCCATGGCAATACCTCATGCTTGTCTGTATTGAGAATCTGAACCTGGAAGGCCCAAAGGCCAGCGGTAGAAGCCAAAAAATCTTTGCTCTTGAGATGAAGGATCTGTGCCACCAGGTGGAGGGATCCACATTAGAGCTAGGAAATGATACTCAGAGTAAAGATCACAGCTTCCCTCATGAAAGCAACAGCCATTCCCAGTGACATCAAGGTCCCAAGCTCCTCCTCCAAGAACAGCCTAGTTCACCTTAGAAAAGCCATCAGCAGCAAGCTTCTCCTAGATAATCAACAGGCCCAGATCTTCCTCCCCAGTTCTCTTTTTATGGCTACTGGTAACAATCTTCAGGTGGATCCTCCACACCCAGACGACACTGATTCAGTTCAGCTGAGCATTACAAATTGACCAGTAGTCAATCCACTACAATCCACCCCTGGTCAACTTGACAACCAAACACATTTCCTTAAACCATAGTCTCTAGTGCCAGATTTGTGAAAACTTAACATATTTTGATCTCTTCAGATTTACATTAATATAACAATTATATATACACAATTCTCATTGTGCTCATTTCCACTATGGCTTCAAATTTTAATACTCTTTGGGTTTCCATTTACTTAAACATTTTACATACATCAACATACACTACACCAAAATCATAATAGGAGTGAGCTATTAAAATCACAATCCTTGCTTCCCATTAACTTTCACAATAGATGCAGCAACACTAAAAGACATCCCAAGGAATCTTCTGCATCCCAAATACATTCTTCCCTTCAGATAAAGGATCTCAAGTCACTTTGCCATTGTCCTGCTCCTTCTCAACAACCACGTTCTCCTTTGTTTCATCCTTGAAATCCACAGCTCTACTGAAGCCCCTCCTGGAGCCAAATGCTTCAAATCACCCTGCTGGTTTTCTGCTCTTAATTTCCAATACAATCCAGCCAAAAGCCCTCAGCAGTAACCATGCTACCATCCCAATGACACACTGCATTGAAATTTTTTCTGCCACCTAGGAAATGTTTCCAAACACAAACAAAATGCAGAACTACTTTTTACAGAAGTACAACATACACTGCCTGGGATTCAGCAGTCAATGCAGTCCCCAACAGAGGCCTTCCAAGCCTCGTCCCAAACAGTAGCAGTACTCTGATATTCTGGGCTCTTACTAGTGTCTGCCATATAATTTAGAGCATACCAGAGCTGCCTCTTTGGTCAGACTATCAAAACCTTTCCAAACTGATTCCCAAGACTTAAAATTTAAGCAACAAGACCAGGCACCATCACAACAAGTACCCACTCTCTGTCTGTATGGGTTTGTGCCCCACTCCCAGGACCAATTTTGTTGTATTCAGCAGGATTGAGCAAAAGAATACATTAAATACAGGACACATAACTTATAAGGTTATTTTATGATAATCAACCAAAGAGTCAAATGCAAGGAGTGCAAGAATTTAACCACACACTAGAAGCCCAAAACATTCACGTGATAGCCTAGATCCCAGCACTTTCTCACACAAGTCCAAATAACAGCTTAGAGTCCAAGGCAACGTCCTTCTCGAGTCCAGCCAGTGGCCTAGAGCCCATGGCAATGTCTCATGCTTGTCCATATTGAAGATCTGCACCTGGAATGCCCAAAGGCCCATGGTGGGAGCCAGAAAATCCATACTCATGAGATGAAGGATCTGTGCCACCAGGCTGAAGAATTCACATTGGAGCCAGGAAGTGATGCTCACAGTAAAGATCAGAGCTCCCCTGATGAGAGCAGCAGCCATTCCCAGCGACAATGAGGTCCCAAGCTCCTCCTCTGAAGAAAACAGCCTAGTTAGCTGTTTAGGAAAACCATCCACAGCAAGCTTCTAGAAAATCAACAGGCCCAGATCTTCCTCCCCAGTTCTCTTTTTACGGCTATTGGTAACAATCTTCAGGTGGATCCTCCATGGCCAGACCACGCTAATTCAGTTCAGCTGGGTGTTCACAATTAGTCAATCCATTACAGGGGCTCCATGGTTAGGGTTAGAAGTGCCTCTACTTTGGGTAAAATGTACTGTGGTATTTCATGCAGACTTGCAAATTAAGAAAAGTAAGGGCTGGGGATTTGGCTCAGTGGTTCTGCCTCTTGCCTGCAAAGCACAAGGACCAGAGTTCCAACCCCCATACCAAAAAAAAAGTCTATGAAGCAGTTTAATTAGGGCCAGAGATTTAGCTCAGTGGTTCCACCACCTGCCTTGCAAGCACAAGGACCTGAGTTCTATCACCAGTACCAAAAAAAATGTAAAGAAAAGTAGTAAACACTGGAGAAGGTGAGT